CCTCCCTCTGGTCCGCCTGGCTTTTTGGCCAAGCCGGCCCGTTTCCCGACGTGTTAAAAAGGGCGAGCAGACAATGGGGAAGGCGGGCCACCTTCTCCAATCCACATCCCGCCGTCTGCGAGGCCATTATGTGGATTCAAACCGGCGCAGGACCCGGCTTTTGTTGACACAAGCCTTACAAATCTCCCTTTTCACGCCGACACAGTGCAATCCCTCCCCTTCGACCCAAGAAGCCTTCTCTTATACTTTCCCCCTGTTTCTCTACTCAGACCCGCCATTTTTAGACCCCTATCTCGTCATATTATCACGCCTAAACTGGGGTAAAATGAGGAACTGATTTCTCATCTCCTGCCCGGAAATGAAGACTGGACAAACCGGTGCTTTTCAGCAACCACAACAGAAATGGAGGGCTTTCACATTCAAAGCCACAATCTCATTCCCCTCTTGTTGTTGTTTTTTTCAATTCGGCTTTATGGCTTCAATCCGGTCCCAAATAGAACATATTCAAAGTGATTTACACAAGTGATTTATTCTGACACTAACAATTTGATTGGAGGCCTCACATTCTGATTGAAGATGGATTAAATCAAAGTAATCCAAGTATTCTTGGCTTTGTGTTGTTGAAGGCTTTCATGGCCGGAGTCACTGGGTTGTTGTGAGTTTTCCGGACTGTATGATCATATTCCAGAACCATTCTCTCCTGACTTTTCACCTGCATCAGGGCCAGCTACTAGGTCATCACACTACAGAATAAATCTACTTTAAATCCGGTTTCTGCCTCTTGCAGAATTCTGGGGTTTGTAGTTTGGTGAGACTGTCAAAGGCTCTTTCCAAAACTGCAAACCCCAGAATTCTGCAGGAAGCAGCAATCGGATTTAAAGCGGATCCATTCTCTAGTGTGATGAGGTCCCTAATAATCACCTCCTAACAAAGGCAGTAAGAAGCTAGACCTTGAAACTGCTAGGTCATTAAATACTACTAAAGGTGGCCAATTGAAACATTCACATTTATCTCCAACAGACAAGAGTTCTTTCTCCCATCCTGGACATTTCACAGGTATATAAACCCCATTTTCCTAGTTTCCAACAGACCTCACAACCTTTGAGGATGCCTGCCATAGATGCAGGCGAAACGTCAGGAGGGAATGCTTCTGGAACATGGCCTTACAGCCCGGAAAACTCACAACAACCCACTACACTAGGCTTAATGTATTGTCGAAGGCTTTCGTGGCCGGAATTAATGGGTTGATGTAAGTTTTCCGGGCTGTAAGGCCATGTTCCAGAAGCATTCCCTCCTGACGTTTCGCCTGCATCTATGGCAGGCATCCTCAAAGGTTGTGAGGTCTGTTGGAAACTAGGAAAATGGGGTTTATATATATCTGTAGTGTTTATATATCTGTGGAATATAAACCCAATTTTCCTAGATTCCAACAGACCCCACAACCTCTGAGGATGCCTGCCATAGATGCAGGCGAAACGTCAAGAGAATGCTTCTGGAACACGGCTATACAGCTTGGAAAACTCACAACAACCCACTATACTAGGCTTATTGGGAAGCAATCACTGTGAACACAGTAAGACTTGTTTTCCAGCGAATAGCGACAGATCCTATTGTATTATCCTTTCATTTTTGATCATACACACAAGCACCTTGTATGACGTCCTAAGGATGTGTATATGATTATATGTATATGCATATGTAATGTGTGTGTGTGTGTATAGATAGATAGATAGATAGATAGATAGATAGATAGATAGATAGATAGATATAGATATATAGATCTATGCAAGCCCAATACGGTGATAGTGTTATTGGGCTCAAAACAAACCCTTTTCCTGCAAAGTAGGCTCCTTTGATTGCAAAACATGTTTACTTCTATGTAAGCCTGGCACTGTTCAATCTATTGAAATATAAGAAATGCTCTGTTTATTCAGTCGTGCACCCGAATGCACACTTCTGTCAGGACTTGGTGAAACTAAAAAGGACTTATTTCTAAACAAAGGGAAATCGAAGCGGCCCAATTCCAAGCACTTGGAACTGGTCATGCACTCTGAACACAGCGTTTCTTTTAGAAGTTACTCATTATTATTTCAATTCAGAACCCCATTTTGTCCCAGTAAAGCAGGCATAGGCAAAGTTGGGAATGCTGGGAGTTGAAGTCCAAAACACCTGGAGCCCCCAACTTTGCCCATACCTACACTACAGTCTTGGGGATTTGTTTCCTTCCAGGTCCCTTAGACAACAGTTGGAGTTTTCCTTCGCCGGGAAGTTGATTCCTAAACCCATTCACCTCCAGGAGGCCCCCCCAACCATCCTTGAGAGGCCCTTCCTCGTTTTCTTTCTACACAAAACATCCTCAGAGTCTTAAACTGTGAGGAACAAAGCCTATTTATACTCTTCATAACATTAATCAGGGCACAAAACATGCAGAGCTCCTCTAACCTTTTCCTTTCTCCGTTTCCAAGGGAACTTCCTTCCAGTTTGCAAGACGCCGGACACGGAAACAACTTGGGATACATCTACACTGCAGTTTGAACGCGAATCTGGCCCTATTTTAATTCCCAAGCCCCCCTGCTATGAAATAGGAGGCGCTGCTGTTTGGTGCCCTTTGGCAGAGAAGGGGAAAGGGCTTCGAAAACCACAACACCCAAGAGTCCACAACATTGAGCCATGGCAGTTCAAGTGGCGTCAAACTGCATTCATGCTTTCGTGTAAATGCAACCCCTATGAAAGGAGCCCCCGGTGGCGCAATGGGTTAAACTCCTGTGCTTACCTACAGATTAGCGGTTCAAATCTGGGAGAGCGGGTTGAGCTCCCTCTGTCAGCTCTAGCTCCCGGAGTGCCCGGTGGTACAATGGGTTAAACCCTTGTTCTACCAGGACTGCTGATCTACAAGTCAGCGGTTCGAATCCGGGGAGAGCGGGTTGACCTCCCTCTGTCAGCTCCAGCTCCCCATGCGGGGACATGAGAGAAGCCTCCCACAGGATGGTAAAACATCAAAAACCCTGGGCAACGTCCTTGCAGACGGCCAATTCTCTCACACCAGAAGCGACTTGCAGTTTCTCATGTCCCAGAAAAAAAATCCCCCATGAGGATAAAACTTGCAACCCAACAAGCAGCCAGCCTGCGGGCCTTCCTAGTCGTATTTTACATGCTCTTTGTGGGGGCGCCCCACTCCTTTCCATGGATTTCCTTCCACCTCCGTGCTGCCATTTTGGTCCCTCTCCTTTCCTCCTCGGAATCGCACGATCCTCGTGCCTTTGGACTCCTTGGATGGAGCCATAAATCTCAGGAGAGAAAGGGGCGGGGAGAAGAAAGCCACCCGCGTGGAGGTGAAACCCGAGAGAAAGAGAGAAAGAAAGAGAAGGGCTGGATTGTTGTAGGTCTTTTCGGGCTATATGGCCATGTTTTAGAGGTATTCTCTCTTAACGTTTCGCCTGCATCTATGGCGAGCATCCTCAAAGGTTGTGAAGTCTGAGAATGCCTGATTTTGCACTCGTTTGAACTGCACCGAACTGCCTTGCATGGTTCTGCACTCACCATATAATGGAGTTCAAACTTAGCCTAGAACCAGGTAAGAACCGGTGTTGTAATGGGTTAAACCCTTGTGCCGGCAGGACTGCTGACCAACAGGTAAGAGGTTCGAATCTGGGGAGAGCGAGTTGAGCTCCCTCCGTCAGCTCCAGCTCCCCATGCAGGACATGAGAGAAGCCTTTCACAAGGGTGGTAAAACATCAAAACATCCAGGCGTCCCCTGGGCAACATCCTTGCAGACAGCCAATTTTCTCACAATTTGTTTCATAAAGATCAAGTAGAAAGAACATATTTTGTAGAAAAACAAAAATAACTTTCTGGCCTTGCATCGCACATTTTAGTGCAAAAAATTAAGAGAGAGTTGGCAGACGGCCAGTTCTCTCACACCAGAAGCGACTTGCTGTTTCTCAAGTCTCTCCTGACACGAAAAAAGCTAAGAAGGGAGAAGGAAGAAAAGAAGGGAGTGATGAGAATGGCAAGAGAAGGCACCTGGGTCTCTCCAGTCCCTGCCTTGTGTGCATCTACACTGTAGAATGGGTACAGTTTGACCCCGTTTTAACTGCCTTAGGTTACATGCTACGGCATCCTGGGGAATGCCTCTAGAACATGGAAATATAGCCCGAAAAACCTACTGATCATATAGAGTTCAAACTTAGCCTAGAACCAGCTAAGAACCGGTGTTGTAATGGGTTAAACCCTTGTGCCGGCAGGGCTACTAAACAAGAGGTCAGAGGTTCGAATCCGGGGAGAGCGGGTTGAGCTCCCTCTGTCAGCTCCAGCTCCCCATGCGGGACATGAAAGAAGCCTTTCACAAGGGTGGTAAAACATCAAAACATCCAGGCCTCCCCTGGGCAACGTCCTTGCAGATGGCCAATTCTCTCACACCAGAAGAGACTTACAGTTTCTCAAGTCTCTCCTGACACGAAAAAAAAGCTAAGAAGGGAGAGGGAAGAAAGGAAGGGAGTGAGGAGAATGGCAAGAGAAGGCACCTGGGTCTCTACAGTCCCTGCCTTGTGTGCAACTACACTGTAGAATGGGTGCAGTTTGACGCCGTTTTAACTGCTATGGTTACATCCTGGATTTTGGAACTGGTCACTTTTTGGCAGAGAAGGCGAAAGTCCTTGTAAAACCAAAATCCGCAGGATGCCACAGCATTGAGCCGAGGCGGTTCGAGCTGGGTCAAACTGCATTCATTCTGCGTCCCTGAAAACTATGCCCGGCGGAGGCCATCCATCATCTTCTTCAGGCTTGGCAAGGCGCAAAACGAAACTCCCTCTGGCGAAGGAAACTCCCTCTCCTCCCCCGAGCTTGGCTTGGCTTGCCCCCCATCTACACTGGCCAATTGTTGCAGCTCGGCTTCAAACTACAGCGGCTGGGCAACACAATTCAGAGAAAGGAAAGCCCAGCCTCATTGCTAAGTGTTTCCTTTGTCATCGTGCAGTGGGTGAAGGGGAGTCCTTCCTTACCCGGACTCGGGCCTCGGTGAGGTTGGTCCAGACGGCGATCTCCTCCCGCGTCGACATGTCCGGGTAGCGGTTCCTCTGGAAAGTGGCCTCCAGCTCCTGGAGCTGCTGGCTGGTGAAGTGCGTCCGCTGCCGCCGCTGCCGCTTCTTCTTGGACGGATCCTCCGCGCCCGGCTCCTCATTCTTGCTCGGCTGGCTCTTGTCTTTCTCTGCAAAGCGCGGGAGAGACAAAGGAAGGAAGGGAGAGAGGAAGAGAGAGAGAGGAGAGAGTCAAACAGCCGATCGGGAGGCGGGAAGGAGCTTCAACCCCGAGGAAGAGGAGGAGGAGGAGCGAAGAGAAGCCGAGCCAAGGATCGGCCCCAACCCGACGCCGGGCTCCACGCTTCCCAGTCCACGCCCGGCGCCATGAGCCACGCCGCGGAAAAGCCCAACTGCGCTCCGAAAATCAGGATCCTATACTAGAGAATGAATCCACTTTAAATCCCCTTGCAGAATTCTGGTTTTTGTAGTTTAGTGCGGCTGTTAAAGGCTCCTCCCTAAACTACAAACCCCAGAATTCTGCAAGAGGCAGAAACCGGATTGAAAGTGGATTCATTCTCTAGTTTGAGGCTGGATCGACACTTCCATAAAACACAGTTTCGATTTGTATCAGCCTTCTTGAACCTATAGTGTGACCCAAAGGTAAACAAGCCTGGATCAGGGTAGGGCATGATTTAATACTGCTCACCATCTACGTTTCATGCTATTTCAAACAGAAACAGAAAATCCTGAAACCGGTTTGAGGCCCGGATGGTGATCACACAAACCACAGAGCACTGATGCGCATTTCCTGCGCGTTTCTTGTGCGGTCAGCACACTTTGAAGCGAGCTCCGAACTGCATTAAATGGTCCCCGCAGATGGATCCGACCCCCTCCCCCTTAAGCTGATTTAAGAGTAAACACACACATTGAAACCGAAGAGGTTCGCTTCACAACCAAATATTGTTTTTGATTTTAAAGTAAGAGGAGGTAAGGTCCATTCAAAGGCTCCCATTGTATCCTTGCAAAGGATGTTCCTGTTTTGTTTTGAGATGGTTTAGGATCTTTATAAGTACACACACAAAGAGAGGAAGCGCTGTTATTGAAAGGTAAGGAATAAATATACTATTTATTTCAGTTTCAGGAGGAAAGCAGAACCCGAAAGCACCCAGGAAAGACTGGCCAGAAGAAAGGTATGCAAGGATGAGTTTAGTACAGAATTAAGGCACTTTCATGTCTATCCTGCAGTGCAATTGAATCTTGGGATTTGTAATTTGGTAAGCGACCAGCACTCTTTGGCAGAGGAGACTAAAGACCAACAAAGCCACACGATTCTATATACAGTTAAAGTGATGCAAATAACATTAATACTACAGTGTAGATGCACCCTTTTCCTATGGTGTACACTTCCTTTGGAGAGGTGTGCCCCAAAGTGGGCGCATATCTCCAATATCCAGGTAGTCTTCTTTGGGTTGTAGAAACCCCCCTGATTTAAACTCCAAGTTTAAACATGGATTTTAAATAGTAGGCCCATGATTTTATTTTTATCCTGAACGGGCATCTTAAAACTTGAACATTAGATAATATTACAGGCAACTGTGACAGATATTCAGGATTGTCCAGATACGCACCAAACCTAAATTGTATATTTTTATTGCACTGAAATATATGTCTCTAGCATTTGTTTTGTTTGACAGGTACAACTCCATACTGTCACACTACAGAGACTTTGCAAGTGTTCTACTCACACCTGCCTTACTTGAGAAAAGCACTAGCAGGTATTATTTCTCATTCAGCCCGCTCTAGTTACTCGAAAATAAATAACTCTGACGTCAATACACCAGTTTGCTCTTAAATAAAAATACAGATTTATGCACTCTTATTTTTTTAGAAGGGACTTAAGAAACTGCAAGTCGCTTCTAGTGTGAGAGAATTGGCCGTCTTCAGGGACGTTGCCCAGAGGATGTTTTCCCTCATATCCCCGCATGGGAAGCTGGAGCTGACAGACTGGAGCTCACCCGGTCTCCCGGATAATATGTGCACTCAATGAGACCCACATATTATCTACTTAAGGAAGGATGAATCTCCATTGCGGTTACGAGGTGCCACCTCAAAGTGTTTATACTGATATTACATCTGACTCCATCTCCATTTACCATTTTCAGGGGCATTAGATCACTTCAGTGGTGATGATCTCCCATCCGAGTACTACCCAATGGTTACCTTGCTTAGCTTTCAATATAAGAGGGATCTGGTGCCTTTAGGTCTGCTAGCAAAGGCTAGGATTTAAATTGATTTCTGGCTGCTCTATCTCTGTATCAGCCCAAAAGGGGACATATCTAGTTATGAAAGAAACTTGTCATAATAATAATTTCAGCCCACACTTTCAGTGGAAGCGTTTGCTCAAATGAGAGACCCATTGAGTTCAAAGGACTATCTCTAGCCAAGTATAGAACTGTCTAAAACTCCAACCAGAGTGTGGATTGAAATCAAGGTAGAGCTGAACCTAGCCAGGATAGCTTGGGAAAAAGCCTCACTCAAACTACACCCCAATAAAGAGTACCTGAAATGAACCACCAGCTATATCGATCCGAAGAAATATGTCCCACTGACTCGAGTGGGACTTTTTTTCCGAATAGCACTGTACGACTCACAGCCTAGTCCTGAAATACGTTTTTACTAGGAAGTAAACCCCACTGTGCCCCGGGTTTACTGGTCTGGAAATGAGGCATAATATAGTTTCTTGGACACCTATGAAGTTCAAGGCCTTGAAACCCAATTCAATTCAACCTCAATGTATCAGGATGATAGAGTGCTCTGAACTTAACATGGCGGATGTACTATTAGGTAGTTAGTTACCTATATTGTCTCCAGATTCCAGAACCTGGCTAAAAAGGAGGAGGGGGTGATTTGTACCGCGACTGTTTCACCCTTGCAGGGTGCATCTACACAGTAGAATGATGGGAGTTTGACACCACGTTCACTGCCATGGCTCAATGCTCTGGTAACCACGGCAGTTGAAGTTTGATGAGACACCAACTCTCTTTGGCAGGGAGACTCCTTGTAAAACCACAACCTCTAGGATTCCATAGCACTGACCCATAGCAGTTGAAGTGCTGTCAAAACAGCAACCCTTCTACCGTGTAGATGCACCCAGGGAGGACAAGGTCTTCTTTCTATTGCCCCTTCCTACACCTCAAGCATCCCCACATCCACAATTGTGACCACAACCTGCTGAATAATAATAATAATAATAATAATAATAATAATAATAATAATAATAATAATAGATACATAACACGATTGATACACATCAAAAATATCACTATGCTGGTTTTTGTATTGGCTCACACATCGGACACTTCCCAAGTGTCTAGGACTGTGTGATATATGGCGATAGAATAATGCTTAGGGTGGCCTTTTGCAGGTGACAGATGGTAATTTTGTCAGCGCCATTGTTTTTAAGTGCAGGCCAAGGTCTTTAAGCACTGCACCCAGTGTGCCTATAACCACTGGGACCACCTTTACTGGCTTGAGCCAGTCTTTACAGTTCGATCTTTAAATCCTTATTATTATTCTGAAAGGAGGGTCAAAAAGGCTAAGAACGCTATGGCTCACAGCAGGTATGGGCAAATTTCAGCTCTTCAGGTGTTTTGGACTTCAATTTCCACAATTGTGGAACTTGAAGTCCGAAACACCTGGAGGGTCGAAGTTTGCCCATGCTTGCCTTAAAAGTCTCCTTCCCTCGCCATGTTTTTTCTTCTTTCTCTGTCCTTCTGTATTGTTCTCCTTTCTCTGTCCCTCTACCCTTCTTTCTGTCTTCTTTCTCTGTCCTCCTTCTCTTTTTCTCTCCCTTTCTGTCAATCTTGCTTTTCCTTCTCCTTTTTCCCCTCGACTTTCTCTTCTCACTTCTCTGTCGCCTCTTGAAAAAAAGGAGAATTCTCGGGATCCCATAACGTGTTAAAGTAGTCTCAAACTGCATTCATTCTACAGTGTAGATGCACCCAGGACCCACCCGTGGCACCTGAACCACTGGGAGAAAGGCGCAGGATTGGGACCAGGCGTTGGCTTTTGGAAGGAAGGAAGGAATCAAGGAAGGAATCAAGGAAGGAGGGAAAGAAGGAGGGAAGGAAGGAATCAAGGAAGGAGGGAAGGAAGAAAGGAAGGAATAAAAGAAGGAAGGAATTAAGGAAGGAAGGAGGGAAAGAAGGAAGGAAAGAAGGAAGGAAGGAATAAAGGAAGGAAGGAATCAAGGAAGGAGGGAAAGAAAGAAGAAGGGAAAGAAAGAAGAAGGGAAGGAAGGAAGGAAGGAAGGAAGGAAGGAAGGAAGGAAGGAAGGAAGGAAGGAAGGAAGGAAGGAAGGAAGGAAGGAAGGAAGGAAGGAAGGAAGGAAGGAAGGAAGGAAAGCTCCCTGCCTGCCTGCCTGCCTTTCGGGCGGATGCGCCTTACCTGCGGCCTCGGGGCTGGAGGTGTCGGAGATGGTGTGCACCTCCAGCCGGTGGTGTTTGCCGGACTCCAAGGCGGAGCGCGGCTGCCCCGGGGCCAGGGAGGAAGCCATGACCAGGGCCGGGTGGTGGTGATGGCAGGAGGAAGAGGACGAGGAGGAGGAAGAGGAGGACGAGGAGGAGGACGGGGAGGGCGCGCACAGCTTGCTCCCGGCTCCCAGGCGCTCCAGGCTCAGCGGCTCTTTGAGGCAGTTCATCGGCGACACAGCCACCCCCCGAAACTGTCGGGGCTCTTGGCGAAGAAACCCAGGAGAAGGCGCCTCGGCGGAGAAGCCCCTGCTCTGTTTGCGGGGCTCAGTCCTCTTGGAGCCGGGCGGCAAAGCCAGCTCCTCGCTCTCCCCCCATACAGTCCCACGGCAAGGGGCTGCCCAGCATGAGCTTCCGCGGCGCCCAAGAAGCCGTGCCAGGCGAAGAAGAAAGCCCCTCTCCTCCGTCCGCGACCATGGGCGGTGTCCCAAAGGGGCCCGGAAGCAGGGCGGCCTCGAGTAGATCCAACCAGGCAAAGCAGCCCCTTCTCCTCAACAGCGGCGTCTCCTCCCAACCCAGGCGGCTCTCTGGTCCAACAATTCAGCAATAAGTGCAGCCTCCGCTTCGCAATGATATCCCCCGGCCCCCGCCGCTCTGCCCTCCCCCCTGCCCTCCCCCGCCTCCCCGGCGCCCCGCCCAGGCCCTGAGTGGCGTGGAGGGCGGCCAATCGGGAGGCGCGATGTCCACCCCGAGAGAGAAGCAGCCCAGCCTATCGGGGCCGGGCAGGGCGGGGCTACGGCGAACGCCTTTTCTCAGTCTCTCCCTCACTTCATTTTCTTTCCTTCCTCAGCTGGGTCGGGTCTGGCTAATCTTTGAAACCCTGCTCTCGAAGGGACGGCGGGGAAAGCAACCAGAAATGCGCGAAAATTAGTCTTGGGTGCATCTACCCCTGGCATGGGCAAATTTCGGCCTTCTAGGTGTTTTGGACTATAACTCCCACAATTCCTGTCTGGAATTTCTGGGAGTTGAAAACATTTGAAGGGCCGAAGTTTGCACATGCCTGATCTACACTGTCGAAGGAATGCAGTTTGACACCACTCTAGGTAACTCAATGCTATGGGATCCTGGGAATTGTAGTTTTGCAAGGTCTATCTATAGCCTTCTCTGGTAAAGAGAAGATAAAAGTCCCCTTAGGACGGAATATTGTTGTTGTTGTTGTTGTTGCTGTTGAGCGCCGACAAACTACAGACTCCAGGATACCATAGCACTGAGTTCAAGTTGTTTCAAACTGCTTTAATTCCACAGTGTAGATGCAGCTATGGAATCCAGGAACTAGTGAGACGTGTGGTGAGATGTTAGCACTAGGGCAGAGAAGGTTATAGAGCAGGCATAGGTCAACTTCGGCCCTCCGGGTGTTTTGGACTCCAACTCCCACCATTCCTAACAGCCTCAGGTCCCTTCCTTTCCCCCCTCAGAAAAGAAAAGGCCTGAGGCTGTTAGGAATTGTGGGAGTTGGGGTCCAAAAGACCCGGAGGGCCGAAGTTTGCCCATGCCTGCTGTAGCGCTTGTAAAACTGCGATTCCCAGCATCCCCTTGCACTGAGCCACGGCAGTTAAATTGGGGCCAAACTGCATCCATTCGGTAGTGTAGAATCACTCTTGCTTTTTCTATCGAATGCATTGAATATTGGCTTTGTGGAGAGGATAATGATGTACCCTCTCCCTTCAAAGTTCTGCTATCCCTCCATGAAACGCAAAAGAAATGTCTCAAAAACACTCCTACACTCCGTTTTGTGCTATCTATATATACACATATGTACATACACACACACATATGGAAGAGAGGGGTGTTGGAGTAGAAATGTTTGCTGTCACCTCTGATATTTTCCTTGAAAGACTCAACGCAAATCATATTTCAAGGGGAAAATGTTTTTAGAGCCCCAAAACTAAAAGGCAAGAGACTTTAAATGGAGACTCACTAGTTCCTGTATTCCATAGCTGCATCTTCACCGTGGAATTAATGCAGTTTGAAACAGCTTGAACTCAATGCTATGGTATCCATACCTAACTCCACATTAATTTTTTTAATCGCTCTTAATTTAGAGGAAAATGTGGACAAAAATGTGCACAGTGGTTTCATCCACGCAAATTTGCTTCTGGAGGTTGGGAGAGAAAACCCTAAGTTTTCATTAAATATATAGATAAATAAGTAGATAGATAGACAGATAGATAGAAGACTGTAAAAGGACTAGAAAATCACACATGCTCCGATTTGCCGCCTTTTAGCCATAGCTTTCCAACTGTCTTTCTGTATGACATTAGACCTCCTAAGCCTTGGAAGCTAAATCCTACTGAAATGGGAAATATTCCCTTCCGAAAAATGATGAAGAACACCCAACTGATTGCTAGGTCATTTTTCACTTTTGAGTCAAACACATTCCAAAATTAACTCCTCGTCCACTATGATTAATTCTCCGTGTTCTAATATTATTATTTTATATGGCCTGATGTGTTTATTTAATGTTTTTTGTATAGTATGTTTTTATTTTTATTTTTTATATTTTATTGCTGTATCCTTATGTTGTCCATTGGCATTGTTGTACTGCTGGGCTTGGCCTCATGTAAGCCGCCCCGAGTCCCCTTGGGAAGATTGTGGCGGGATAATAATAATAATAGGGTTGTTGTAGGTTTTTTCGGGCTATATGGCCATGTTCTAGAGGCATTTTCTCCTGACGTTTCGCCTGCATCTATGGCAAGCATAGATGCATGCTTGCCATAGATGCAGGCGAAACGTCAGGAGAAAATGCCTCTAGAACATGGCCATATAGCCCGAAAAAACCTACAACAACGCAGTGATTCCGGCCATGAAAGCCTTCGACAATACAATAATAATAATAATAATAATAATAATAATAATAATTGGAGGCAACGGGCCTCCCACAATCCCAAAGTCTTTCTTTTCAAGCACCCCAAAAGGTGGCAGAAACGTTACTTTCTTGGACCTAACCTACAAGTCTTGGTAATTCTAGTCAGTAAAGACCGAGAAGAGGGAAAATCTGTACAAACAAACCCGAACATTGTGCTTATCTTCGCTCAATGCGGTCCTGCCAGTTTAGTGTCATTTCAGCCGTCTTGATAGAGCCATTCCCATTCAAATAAAAACCCCAGTTCTTTTGTGTATGTGTGTCTCGGATACGGAAAATCATATTCCCCCTCCAAGTCACCAAGCCAAAACCGGGCTCGATGGGAGTGAGTAAACACAACCATCTTCCGGAGGAGTCCCCGGCGAGCAGGGCTGTCATTCCATATCTAATATTTCTATCAGTAGCGTCTTGTCTACACGGCGATTTGTGAGGCTTCTTGGGTTTTCGTTTGGAAGGTCTGGTGTTCTGTTACAAACCTGAGACGGAGCGAAAATAGAAGCGGCTGCTGAGTTTTCCTAGCAAGCTTTCCGGCCGTCCAGAGACTCGAGTCAGAAGGAAAGGCGATTAGACCGAGAACGAAGAGGAAAACCTATCCTTTTAAACCGAACACGTCCTTCAAGCGAAGAATCCAATCCGATCCAATGGATTTTGCCAATTTTCACGTAATTGCCAAATTGTTCTGCCGCCCTCCTACACATCTAGCGTTTGGAAATTGAGGCTGGACTTATAAAGCCCTTTGAACTGCATTATATACCCAGTGTAGATCCATATCATGCAGTTTAATAGGCATTATATGACAATGATCCAGCCTAATGCCCTTAAAAAAACATCAATTTTCAAAATTCCTCGTCTTTTTACAATCCAGAATAATAACCCCATAATGACAACCCTATATCAAGGCAGAAAATCCCGCTATATCTTCTTTGAACTGGATTATCTGAGTCCACACTAATGTGGGATTTTCTGACTTGATATTCTGGGATATAGGGTTGTGTGGAAGGACCCCTAGATATCCCAAAACAGCCAACCTGCCACCCAAACATAACATCCTTCCTGATCTTGGAAGCTAAGCAGGGTCAGCCCTGGTTCATATTTGGGAGGGAGACCGCCAACGAATATAAGGTATCTGGGACTATTTTTTTTCAGAGGAAATGACGGCTAAACCTCACCCTCCAAATCCTTGCCTTAAAAAAACTATGAAATGCATAGAGTCTTCATAAATTGTCGGGGAAAGGGAAGGCGCACACAAAGACTGGCTCTTTTTACCAAGCAAGGTCGGTTCTGGTTAGTACTTGGATAGAAAACAGCCAAGGAATATCAGGTGCTTTCAGTTATGTCTCAGAGGACAGGGACTGGCAAGCATCCCACTCCATTCATTGCCTTTGTGTGTGTGTGTGTCAAGAGCGACTTAAGAAACTGCAAGTAGCTTCTGGTGTGAGAAAATTGACCGTCTGTGGAAGGCTTTCATGAGGTAGTGAGATCACTACCTCTGAGAATGCTTGCCATAGATGCAGGCGAAACGTCAGGAGAGAATGCCTCTAGAACATGGCCATATAGCCCGAAAAAACCTACAACAACCCAATTGACCGTCTACAAGGAGGTTGCCCAGGGGACGCTGGGATGTTTTACCATCCTATGGAAAGTTTCTCTCATGTCCCACATGGGAAGCTGGAGCTAACGGACAGGAGCTTAACCCGCTCCCCGGATTCGATTGTGTTTAACCCATCGAGCCATCAAATAACACTATATGAAAACCATGGGATTGCCATAAACTGACAAGCAACTTGAAGGCTCTGTTTACGGAGTGGATGTGCCCCTGTCTCAGTTTAATAAATCCGAGTATCAACACAAAAAGAGAGGAAATGCGGTATTACGGTTTTGGACGGGACTCACATACACAGACTATGCGAATCCCGTCCAAATGTGATGTGGGGCGGAAGCGGGTTACATAGTCATCCTTTAATTGTGTTTTCTTTCGAGGGGGTTTAAGGAAGAAATCCACCTGAAATGGCCAGTATAGATGTGCCCTAAGACTCCTAGAGACTAGGGTTCGACTCCCTTCTCAGCCCCGAAAAACTACTTTGTGTGTGTGTGTATGAGTATGTGAGGAGCGACTTGAGAAACTGCAAGTCGCTTCTGGTGTGAAGGATTGGCCGTCTGCAAGGACGTTGCCTAGGGGACGTCCGGATGTATTACCATCCTGTGGGAGGCTTCTCTCATGTCCCCGCAAGCTAGAGCTGACAGATGGGAGCTCACCCGTCTGGCGGATTCTAACCGGCAACTTTAGGTCAGCAACCCAATTTTCAGGATGTTTTACCATCCTTGTGGGAGGCTTCTTTCATGTCCCCGCAAGCTAGAGCTGACAGATGGGAGCTCACCCGTCTGGCGGATTCGAACCGGCAACCTTTAGGTCAGCAACCCAATCTTCAGGATGTTTTACCACCCTTGTGGGAGGCTTCTCTCATGCCCCCACAAGCTGGAGCTAACAGATGGGAGCTCACCCGTCTCGCGGATTCGAACTGACAACCTTTAGGTCAGCAACCCAACCTTCAGGATGTTTGACCATCCTTGTGGGAGGCTTCACTCATGTCCCCGCAAGCTAGAGCTGACAGATGGGAGCTCACTCGTCTGGCGGATTCGAACCGGCAACCTTTAGGTCAGCAACCCAACCATCAGGATGTTTTACCATCCTTGTGG